GTTTCATAAAATTCCAACTCTAACGAATAAATTGATTAGTTTTCATTATATAATATATTCCACTTTGATGTAAGATTCTTAACACAAATAGTGCAAATATATGTTAAATGATTGATTGACGTTTAAGAATTTTGATATCACAATTTTGTCCTAAGTTTTTTTTTTTTTTTGTGTGGTTAATTTTGAAGCTTTTTAGTCTTTCTAACAATATGAGTAGTTCTCTTTCGTTCTCGCTTTATAAAGTGTAAAGATGAATTTATTTTATTTATATAAACATGGAAAGGAAGTATATATTCGTAACTTTATGCTAAAGATTTATCTTCCTCCCCCCTTCATGCTTCATCTTTTTGGTTCTTGTTGCTTTGCGGCAAGCATGTGATAGCTACCAATTAGCCAATTGGGATACCAAAATAACCAATCGATCTGATCCAAATAGGTCCAAAAAGATTTTGGTTAATCAGTGATTCAAATGTGGCTGGATGTTTATTAACCATCACCAAAGGTAAACAAATTTAGATGTAAATTTATTATCAATCTAATAATCAATTTAGATCTAATTTCTCTTTTAAGTTATATAATCACAGTTCTTCGTCGCCAATGTTTTTTATCTTCTACCATTTGTTGTTTTTGTTATGAGTGTATCTGAAAAATTGAAGTGTCAATATTTTGTCGGCACTATATGAGTGATTAGACATCGTATAGATTCTTTAACTTTCCAGTTCAATGATTACACTATATAGAACCCAAAATAAATCTGAAACTATAATTGAAGTGGGTCTATCTGCAATTCTACATGTGTTCATAAGTGATACATAGATACGTATAAATTTAATATATAATACAATTTCTTTTGAAAAAATGTAAAATTGTATTCAAATAAAAAAACGTTTTTACATCCATGCGCTACATAATTGTTAAAAATTTAAATTGTTATCCAAAAATCTTGTTGGATATAGTAGTGCTTAATTTGGATAGTGACCCGAACTGAATCACTTTTTGTTTTCGTTTTTTTTGGGGTTCTTGGCTGAAATTTGAAAAACTATGATTCGAGCTTCTGGACTTTCAGATTGGGCCTAGGTTATTCAGAATGCTCTTTGTTAGGTCATAATCTGTCGGCTAATGGGCCTATAATGGGCTCTTAAGTAAGGGAGAGTTGGGTTATGAAAGTTTTGAATTTTTGATGCCAGAATCTTATATTATCATCATGCAATAGACACAATTATAACGCGTTGACAAAAACAAAATACAATTGGTTAAAGAAAATAATTTTGAATACGAAGTTACGAACGTGCCTTGCATGAATTAGTTATACAAACATGGTCCATTGTTTCCATTATGTGAAAACTGAAAAGATTAAAAATATAATGGATCCCTTAATCCTCTCACAAAAAGTCTTCGCAAAGGCTGCTTATCAAAATAAAAATCCTTAAAAAAAAAAAAAATCAAAAATTTGACCATAATCTTTGTGCGTGTCAATGACTCAGTAATTTCCACGTGGCAATATCTCAGGCGATATAGAGAGAGATAGACAAAAACCCTAAGACAAGGCTTTGTATCTCTCTCGCTCGCCGCTTCTTATCGGAATCTTTCGTCATTATGCTCAGAATCCACCATTATCACCAAACCTCTATCTGTTGAAAGATTCTTACTTTGTGACATTTTGAATTACAAGGTCGTTGATTTGAGAATTGGGTTCTGTTTATAAATTAGGGTTTTTGGTAAAGTTTTCGTTTTTTTCCCTTGTGTGTGTGTTTTCGAAGATGGCTGCTTTGAAAGGTTATGGCTTTTGTGCTATGGACTCTGCTTTACAATTCCCCTGTCCAAGACGATTCAGTGGCTACAAGAGGTTCCTTCTCTTATCCTCTTTTATACTTTGATTCGATACATTTGCAGATATGTAACATTTATCTATTAGGTTATGTATGATAGTTTCTGGAATTGACTTGAATATCCATTGTATATGTTGCAATCGAATGATAGTGTCTAGCAGTAGTTCAATGGTGATTATATCATAAAACGGTCTAATGAATTTTTGAATGATTTTGGTTTTGGAAATTGGAATTGAAATTGAAATTTTATCACTTTCTCTGGCTAATTGATATGTTTATGAAACCTATGATTCCTGTTCTTGTGAGTTATGTTGGTGGATTATTGGAGATTGTAACATTAAGACATGTTGTTCTGTATATTGAGTCAAGCTAATTTGCTTTGATGTGTTCATAACACAGAGGGAGCTCGAAATGGGTTTCTCCAAAAGCAGCTGTTGTACCAAATTTCCATCTCCCAATGCGCAGCTTGGAGGTTAAAAACAGGTCTGTGGGATAATAGAGTTGGGATGGACCGACGTTATTTGTCCATGCTCTGCAAGTTTATTCCATACTCAGACTTCTATTGTGCTTTGTCAGGACGAACACAGACGATATCAAAGCTCTACGGGTGATCACAGCTATCAAAACACCGTATCTACCTGATGGAAGATTCGACCTTGAAGCCTACGATGACTTGGTGAACATTCAGATACAAAACGGCGCTGAAGGTGTCATTGTTGGTGGTACAACTGGTGAAGGACAGTTGATGAGTTGGGATGAGCATATTATGCTCATAGGCCATACCGTTAACTGTTTTGGCGGAAGCATCAAAGTTATTGGAAACACCGGAAGTAATTCAACAAGAGAAGCAATCCATGCGACTGAACAAGGATTCGCGGTTGGAATGCACGCCGCTCTTCACATAAACCCTTACTATGGAAAAACTTCGATTGAGGGTCTAATTGCGCATTTCCAATCTGTTCTTCATATGGGGCCGACGATTATATACAATGTTCCAGGTCGAACAGGGCAGGATATACCGCCTCATGCCATCTTCAAACTTTCTCAGAACCCTAACTTAGCCGGTGTGAAAGAATGTGTTGGGAACAAGCGGGTCGAAGAGTACACGGAGAAAGGGATTGTTGTATGGAGTGGGAATGATGATGAGTGTCATGATTCAAGATGGGATTATGGAGCAACTGGAGTTATATCGGTCACTAGTAATTTAGTTCCGGGTTTGATGAGGAAACTAATGTTTGAAGGTAGGAATTCGTCGTTGAATGCAAAGCTTCTACCTTTAATGGATTGGCTATTCCACGAGCCAAACCCGATTGGGATTAACACTGCTTTGGCTCAGCTTGGAGTGGCGAGGCCGGTTTTTAGGTTACCGTATGTTCCATTGCCTCTTTCTAAGAGGCTTGAGTTTGTGAGAATGGTGAAGGAGATTGGACGAGAGCATTTTGTGGGTGAGAGAGATGTTCAAGCTCTTGATGACGATGATTTTATCCTTATCGGTCGATATTAGCATATGCTTTTTTCGATTTTTGTGGTTCCGTTGTTTGGTCTTAAATGTTGAAGAGATGGTTCTATATGATCCTTTGGTTTATGTATCATGTTTTGCCTATGCGTTTTAGTTTTTACTCTGTTTTAAGGATTGAAACGGCGCGCGTGTTTGATTCAATTGTTCGAAACGGCGTGCGTGTTTGGTTCTGTTACTGGAAACAGCGACAAGTTTAGTTTCATTGTTCAAAATGGCACGCGTGTTTGGCTGTTTTTGTTGAAACGACGCGCATGTTTGATTCGTTTGATTGAAACGGCATGGATTTTACATCTTTGAACGGTCACGGCATCGCCATGTGAAAATCATTAATTTTGTTGGATACACAAAATCGAGAATTTAATATTTACGGTGATTTTCTAAGTTGCCTGAGGGTACCCACGTCACGTGAGATGTTCGTGCCAGCTGTGGGAATTTCTCTTCGATTGAGATTAAAATGAAAAAGATTGAAATTTTTGTAAAAATAGTAACCAAAAGAATGATCTATTTATGGGTCTTCTTTGTTAAGTAGAGAGTAGTAGCAAATTAGCTAAAAAGGTAGATTAACCATGAACAAAAGAACTCAAATTCAGAGATTACATTACAAGATGAAACTAAAAAGAACATAGAATTAGATGTATACCTTAAACCCTTGATTGTAAATTAATAAACCCACTTAGATAATCAATACTCTTAAAATAACCAAAACTTTTGCTAGTTATTTTTTTTTTAAAGAGCTCTTAGATCTTATTATAAAACTCACTAAAGAAAGAAGAAGAATGATGATATGATCTTGGTGATTGTTTATGGAACAGAGGAGAGTTTTTTGGTTTGAAGCAAAGAGAAGAGAGCTTTGTTTTCTTGGAGAAGAAGAAGAGCTTTCTTCTTAAGTTTCTCGTTTTCTCTTATGATGTTTTGATTCTCTATGTAAAGCTTTATATTCTTCATCTTCATCTCTTTTTCTTCCCGCCACATCTTTCTTCTCCTGAAAAACAAAAACAGAGCATTTAGTGACTGTAGTTATTGATTATAGTTTCAGAAAGATGTATATGGTGATGGAGATTGAAACCTTGAGAGACGAGGGATACGAACATGGCTTTGTGTTTTGAGGTACAAAACTAATCTTGTTGGTGTGTCTGAAAATGGTTCTGAAGAACTCAAACACATCTTTGTAGGTTTAAAGTT